TGATAGCGGTCGACCGCATGTGGAGAAATTGTCTCGTCAGAAAATTGCCGAACTTGGATGGGAAGTGCTGCCCCATCCTTCTTATCCGCCAGATCTCGCTCCGTCCGATTACCATATTTTTCTTGCTTTAAAGCATCATCTTCGCGGCAGAAATTTTGATAATCGCTCGGAACTCAAAACTGAGATTTCCTGCTTTTTCGAATCGCGGCCGCCACAGTTCTGGGCTTCAGGAATCAAAAAACTGGTGGATCGTTGGACATATGTTGTGGACCACTCTGGAGACTATATTACTAATTGAGATACTCTTTTAATGAAAATAAGACTTTTTGAAATAAAGATGAAAAACCGATCAAAACTTTTTACTCAACCTAATATATTTTCTCAAGATAAGGAAGGCGTGTTTCCATTATAGTGACGAGCAAGCGCGAGCTATTTATCGTAATGTCATGCTTCGCAACTTTAACTTTCGCTTCGCGTACTGCGGCGTTAAAACAGCAGTTAACAAAAAACATCAAGTCAAAACGTAATGACATGGGTGCAACCAACTCGAACTAGATACGAATTTTAAGTTGAAGACCTATCTCGATTTGGAAAGTTTTCTCTTTCATGCAGTACGATCTTCGCATGGAACTGAGGCAGAAAATGCATGCAGGTAATCGTTCAACGTCCGTCATCCCTTCGTTATCAAATAGCCTCACATCATCAATCAACAATGCACGCAACGTTGTAGGATCAGCGGGCAAAGGACCAGGCGCCTAAAGTTTGCCTCGCATTCGAATTCCTCACAGAATTGCATTGGGCACTTATCCGAGTGATATTATTCTGATTAGACTCCGACTGTCTGTGTCTCTGAGTGGTTCGGTTTTCAAGGTGTGCCTTACATGATGAAGCGAGGTACCCATGCAAGGTGCTACACAATTCCGATTTCAAGATGATGTCACAGTACCTACAGTACCGTGTAGCGAAGCAAACAATTTGTGGTGATCTTTGAAATCAGGAGTGTGGGTTCGTACAACAAGCTCACCGCACCCGATTGCGCGTAGCTTCGCGCTGTGACGGGTAACATTTAACTTTCCATTGGAAAGTGGAAGTGGAGTTTACGGTCATTGCTTTTGAAATATTCGGGTACAAGAACCGTCGCTTCAAAGTTAGCACCAAGCACCGTGCAACGCGATATAACATGCATAAAAGAGCAGAGTAAATCAAAGAGAACAAAACTAAAAAGCCAAAAGAATTACCAGGAAAGGGTAAATCGTCTCAATACTATGCAATAATTCTACTTAAATGCGATGTAATATAATACGAACATATGAGATCATCTAGCTAAATGAAACATTTCGCACCATTACATATATAAAGAAGTTAGGGTAACAAAAAAAAAAAAACAAGTAAATGCCGACCAACCTCGTGTGGCACTTCTTCGTTGCTACAATCGTGGGCGAGGGCAAATTGTTGCATCACTGACAACCAAGATACTGTAGCGCCGTCTCGAAATAGCGCGGTGGTACTAGCCGTTTTCAGACTTCGACGTCTGTCCTTCCGGCGCGTTGCGGGCGTGCGTGCGACGGCGGCCCTAGCCACTTGTTCACGACACTGGATCACTGGATCACGTGCCAACTAGTGGCTGGGGCCGCCGTCGCACGCACGCAACGCGCCTGACGGACGGACGTCGAAGTCTGAAAGCAGCCACTACGCGCAGCATGACCTACTTACGTCGATGATTCATCACCCGTTGCGAGTTAGCGCATAAGGCTTTTACGTCCGTATAGGTCACGAGCGTTTTGACTTGCATTTTCGGTAAGGGAGGCCACTGACGTTTTTCTTTGATGGACAAAATCCAACTTATATTGCTGATTAGTTATGGTCTGATTCCCTCGTAGTTCCCCTTTCTTTCCGCTTATTCATTGCATGACAATGAAAAATGGGTGTGGGACCGCACGTCAATGGGATCCCATACCCATCCCATTGTAAGTCAAGCAGCCCTCAAGCTGTTCATTGTGGCTCATTGTTGTAGGTGAGCTCTTTTTTGATCCATTGTAAAGAGCATTCGAATAAGCGAAAAACTTTCACAGTAGGGTGATCGGGCGTCATAAATTCTATTCGTGATAATAATGTGGATGCAAAGATGCATGATATAAAACAACACACCAAATACATCGATTCTGGGCAAGAAGGCAGAAAGGGTGGGCATGGCAATAACCGAAAACGCTCTATTTAAAATTGGTATCAGGGAAAAAAGATCCCTTATGCAACATAATGGTAATTCCAAACAGAAATTTTTAATTCCAATTTTGATATCACAATTTGTGAGAAAAACTATTATTGGATTACAGTAATCAAAAAGTGATTACGGCATTCGACTAGGAATTACTTAAAGGAATGGCACCGAGATATATTAGCACGGAATGTGAGTAGCACAGATTGGAATCGTTGATGATCTATCAAATATAACCGCACAATAATAACACAAAGAAATAAACCAACTAAAAACGTCCTCAATCACCGAACAACAGCGAGAAAATCAAAAATTGAGCATAGGTATGGATAGTGACTCAAGTAGAAGGGAGGTGGCTGACTGAAGTATACCTTTTGTAGCGCTAAAACTGATTATAACTAGTGATCAGACTCTAACTGGGATCTCGAGCGAGAACTGCAGGCACTCTCTAAGGTTCGACTATAAACGGGCAGTGATTAACGGAGTAGAGTACGGAGATAAAAACTTTCACTCTGGAGAAGAGGTTGTAACGCACAATAGAAGCATCTATTTCTCACTCTCAAATGCCTCGGACGGAACGCCTCACGCTGCTTTACGACTGACTCCTCCACCAGCGCAAGAACTGGACGGTATATCGACTAATTGTGCGCAAAATCAGTAAATATCTCGAAGGGCGGGTATGGGTACATTCGTGCGATTCGACCTGCGCGCGGCAAATTGCGCGGGAAATTCATGACGATTCCAACGACTCTGGCGTCTATTATTGTGGTATAAACATGGAATAAAACAGATTAGTAGGTCAGCTGATACTACTGAACTACTCTACTTCAAATTTGGGCCCCAATAATCAGCGCTGAAGTCGTTAAAATGGCTACAAATTTCGCCGCGCGCAGCTCGAATCGCACGAATGTTCCGTCCCCCCTCGAGGGGCACGCGCTGAGGAAGTGGTCTTTCGTGCAATAACGTATTCATTTTCAACGAAATAGTTTTTGGTCGTGTTGGGGGATCATCGAGCATATGTTCTCTGACGGCATATTGCTTGCGGCGGTGGCGGCGGAGTTGAGAAAGTTTGCAGTTGTTTGGTATGCAAGCGGCACTGACGTTGGCATATATGTATTGTCGTGAAGCATGAACGACGGCTCGTAGTATTGTAAGCGCGCTTGCATCTCCGAAAGTGTCTGAAGAAGACCGCGAATCTGGAAAGGGGTTTTCAGTGTAAGTTTACATAAGAGAAAGGGTGCAAATATGGCCTACTTGATCGCGAAGTTGGATATTGTCAGCTTCCAACTGTAGCTGATTTTGAATACGACGTACACGACAGTTCAAAGCGTAGCCACGATTTTTGAGCGTTCTTCGTTTCTGCTTCATCATCGTCACCAGCTGTCGGTCATGCCCCTGTAATGGAGAAAATCAGAAGAGAAGAGTTGGACTTCAGTTCTGAAGACTGAACCGAAAACCACAGTGGTCACTAATACGGATTCCTTTTTGACGGACTTTTGACGTCATTCCCTTTTAATAGCTTGTAAGACTAACTGATTTAAGAACAAGTTTAACAAATTGATAACCCGTGAACTTTCAAACTACTAGAACGATGTAAGGTGCAGATTTAGAAGAGTAACCTCAAGTCGATTGAGAAGATTCAAGGCACGAGGAGGTGATGCTGCGGTGGTTCAAAGGTGAAATAGCACAGAGTACATAAAGACCATTTTCACTAAAGGAGCATGATGTCATCCTAGCGGTTCATTTCCCTTCCGATTGGTTTCTATAGATTGAAACAGCACAGTGAATTACAAACACATTCAATTTTTCAAGTATAGACAGTATAGACAAGGGTAAAGTACAGCGCAGAGAGCCTAGCTGATTGACCGTCAGGAGTTTCTGAATTATTCTACAGAGTTGGTGGAGAACTGCGTCAGAAGGAGTTTTGCCTTGTTTAAAGGCAGTAGTGATAGGTTGCTCCAAAAGATCCCATATCACGGAGCTACACCTCAGAAATTTTGAGGAGCAATACAAATATCCTAAGGAGGACGTCATGAATCGTGGGTAGCTGGTGTTCATGAAATTCTCCTCAGAATTTCCCAGTCTCGTGGTGAATGAGAACTCTCGGATAAGCTAGCATCTAGGGAAGGATACGAGACTTAAGTTCTTTTTGGTTTTTTGTCTGTTGCCCAGGATTCAGCATGTCTTTGTTGGTCTGATGTGTCCTCTTAACCGGCCAATTTATCGTGAAAGACTTCACCTGTAGGCGTTGATTCAGTTGGCGAACGCTAATACGCTGCAGCTCCTCGTCAGTAACCTCAGGAGTGAGGGGCGACTGTACGGAACTATTCAACGGAGATGGCAGCAGTGTTGGCGAAACCGAAAGTGATGTGTACGAGGGAGATGGCTTGCAGTATGGATCCATGTACTAAAAACAAAAAATTTTATCAGCAAAGCAGTGAGTGAGAATAAAACATATCTAGTTGAACGACTGAATCTGGCCAAAGGGGCAAACGATCATTTGGTTTGGAGGGGTGGAATGCAACCAAAAGGTATTTGCCGTGCACAACATATATGTTATACGTTTCACAGTATATACTTTGCTTCTGGAATTGTAATGATTCTGAATCAATTCCAGTTGCTACGTGAAAAGTCGAGACGACGAATTGTCCGAATCGGCAACAAGCAATGCCTCTGTTTCCCTTCGCAACGAATCAAATAGCGATGTATCAGTTCGTTTGTTCATCACTTTTTCCGAACATTTCACTAATGGGCTGTCAACAAGTACTGCGGCTTTTTTCAATTCGATTTTCAATCAAAGTTTAAATTCTGATACCATCTCATACATAGTTCAAAAGCGCTTTGTCCAGATTATCTGAGCGCACAACTCGCTTGTACTTCGGGTACGCTCCGCTTTCAGCTCGCCATAAGGTAGGGCGAGCTGAAAGTGGACCGCGCTTTAGGGTAGCCGTGAAACAAAAAGCGTGTTCGTCATTTTCTCCCCTCGCCTTTTCGATGAGTTAGTTCACCCACCGGAAAAGCTGCTCACATGTTTATGAGATTTATGAAAGGATGCTATGACGAATAGAGTAATCAGAGATGAGTTAGGTAGAAAACCTGATTCAGGGAAGTCGTGATGGCGGGAATTTTGACGAGAAAAGAAGGGTTGCAGAAAACATGAGATGTATTAAAAATAAGCCAGCAAGTAAATGTTCGGAAAAGATAGTAGTACAGTGAACGGTGTGTGACTGGGTGATTTTCGCCAATAAAATTGGAGAATGAGTCAGTTGCCGGGTTGGGTGATTCTCGTCGACTCGACCATTAACTTCGTAAGCCTGACAACCTAAACCATAACTTTTTCAGAGCGAAACATAACTCTCGTAGTATAGCTATCAATATTCCGAGTGGTACGTTACCTTGCATGAAAACATGAAGTTTTATAGCAAGCAAGTCGGTTCGAAAAGTAAACGCCATTTGTTATGCAACGACACAATAATTTAGGTTTTGGTTACGAAGTTCAGAGCTTATGCCAATCAAGTGATTGTGACTCACTGAAGAAAATTAGCAGTAAATAAATAAATTGGAAGAAAGATCAAAGGTTTGGCTCCCAAATAGAACTCAACCCAAGTAGGCATCTGCAGTAAATACACGTCTGCTGGTGACTCATGAAAAGATGCGTCCTAATATCCGGCTCCGTTCAAATCGTTGCGGCGTTTTTGAATGCGTAAGCGGCCTACACAATCATTTGCGACCAACTGTGGTACAAGTCACTTCGTTTATGCTCGAACCTGGTCTCATCTAACCGACTCACAGGAGTGTAAAGTTGGCTGGCTTGGGTGCAGGATTGGATTCCCGGACGATGCATGTGATAGTGTGTGCCACTTGATATCTCACACCCTATTGACCCACAAACAATGTCAAAAGTAAGTAGTATGAGTAATCAGTGGGAAGTTAACAGAGAACACCTAGTAATATAAAGGAACAGGTCACGTCAGCACTTCGACAGCTAATCAAAAAGGTGGTTCGAGTGGGGGTTTGGCCGACCTATTGTTAGGACGTTAGGGCTGCTGATATGTGGAACGAGCGCAAAGATCGCGCAAAAGGAGGTGTTCCGATAAGCTCGCTCAAGCAGAGCCAGTGGATAGCGTCGATTGTTTACTGATTATTAATTCGCATTACACAAACGTCAACATATCGGGAGGAATCGTTTTCTGTTTGCTTCTTGACGCAAAAAGCTGGTTATTGCTTCAATAATATGACAATTGAAATAAAATAGTTCTGTTTCCGGAAAGGAGCATCTCTGTGGCAAGGGACACATAATGCAGAAGATGGAAAGCTCGATTGTGATCCTCATCATTTCTGTGGCCTGTAACTCATTAGCAAGAAGACTGTCAGCTCGCTAACTACTCACCGCACTCATTAAATTTCAAACTTGTGAAAAAGAAATCCGAGCTGTTTCAGAGACCCCCAAAGTAGGGTATAATATTATTGACTGAAAGTCAGCAGAATAAGATTAGGAAAGAAAGAAAAATGAATCAAGTTGTAAAAGGAATCGGACCAAACACAGCTCCGCCCGTTGTGGGCGGTGAACGCTGAGACAGGCGATGTTTGAGCGGAAACTTCAAGATACAGTACAAGGACAAGAAATGGACGTAGCGGTGGTCGAAAAGTTGAAGTGTGGCTGCAAGGAATGCAAGAGGGCCCTGCGTGGTTGTATAGAATTAACGCAAAGATGTACACAACAAAACACAAAGAATGAGATCTACTCTGAGCGATGGAGGTGTGAGGGAGGTGGAGCAACTTGTAACTTATACAAATACAAACTACAAAATAGCTGTCATGTGGCACTATAGTTGTGTTTGAAATACCGTACCTGTTCGGTAAGCGTGGCATAGCGGCATTTGAATGACTACGATAGAAATATCAGCCAAAACGAAGTGGCAATGTGATCAAGCGCAGAATGATTCTTAGGGCCTTCATGTAGGTTCTATAGAATTTCACTTGTCAGTACTTCTCAGTACTGATTCTTCTCTTAACAGTACAATAAGGAGTGAAATGAAAACGTTACTTCACTTCACAACTAGCTTCAAGCCGAGTGCCAGATGCTTGGTAACCCGCTTATCATCGCTCTTTTATCTGAAGGATGTTTTTGGGTATATTTCATCATTTTTCTTGTCAGTGTAAGTTCCTACTATTCATCGTCACAAGCAACTTCAAAAAAATCGGTGAATTGAATGCTTGCAGAGAAGTGTTTCAAACAGTAAAAACATCGCAGCTCGGGCCAACTCGGCCTATAATGATACTGTGAGTTTACCTATGAGTTATTCTGATACAAAAGGCAAATCGAATTCGTTTTGCAAATCCTAGTAGTTTGCCGATTTTCAGCTCACTCTAGCAGCGAGAAGTAATCCCTAGGAAAATGGCTTCGCAGTCAGTCAATGCTGATCACTTTTAAATGAGCATGCCTAATGATCAGGGCGGTGCATAGAGGAGTATGTCAGCCGACTTCCAGTAGTACATCTCTGTTTCGGTCTCTGTCATTTTGCTGATGTGACGAAAATGATCGTTTTTATTTATGGGACGTCAACATGAGTTCCTGTTTCGCAGTCTGCTGTTACTAGTATTTCCTTTTCCTAGTCTGTTGTCAATATTAATTGAGTGAACAACAATATACGAAAAATTAAATAGAAATTCCGTCCTAAAAAATGGTGGCTAACCAAGTTTTTGAGTTACAGATTCGGCTATGAATCGAAAATGAAAGCTGGAAATCATCTGTCACTCGATGATCCAGCTTAAGGCGGCTACGCTACGGTGCTTCCTGACACTTCTGATTTTCTAATTTGTATAATAGACTTTCTAAGGTATTCATTCAGGCTTTTTTTAAAAATAATTCTCAGCTCGTGCAAAACTTTTGAACACTCTGCTCTGAAGCTATTTAAGGCGCGTCCGATTTGTTTTCAATCACGGATGACTGTGACACTTGTTGCCGTCCAACAAACTGATTTAAAGGCAACTTAAAAGCCTCTAAATGAAAAGAGAAAATGAGGGAAAATGAATGGAAGCGATGGTAAGGAACTCACAGTGATATGTATATGTTGAGACGTACCGATGAATAACCTTCTACACGTACTCAAAGTGGTGTCGCTTGACTAAAGTGAAGCGGTTGAACACCGCGACTCCGCAACAGCTGAAATGATCAAGAAAGTTCTTCTGCAAGACGGTTGATGGCGTCGAGACGGTTGAGCAGTAGACCCCGCCTTACTGAACACTGCCCACCATCTGCGACTGCCACCAACAAACAGAAGAAAGCCAAAGAAAAAAAGATAACGCGCACACTCCCGCACACACAGTTTTAACGAAAATGTGAAAGTGTCGGCTTCACACACAAAACGCCCCAAAGAGTGGAGCTAACTAGACTTGGCCTCGTGAGTTAAATGGTATGACAAACATGAATAGCTGTTAGCTCGACTCCTGATATAAAGTGTTGGAAAAGAAAGCGAACTGAGAAAGCGGAATGAAACGTCATTGACACATGGGGAGTAAAGGGTAAAAGCAGTGGCGGCTCATGCTTGGATGCGTCACTCCAGTTTGTACACAAATTCTTCTAACTGGAAAGCTTGTCTGGGCGAATTCAGATCTCTAAAGTGTAGCCCAGCGCCTTCCACGCTTTACATACGTGTGAAGATAGGAAGGAAAGGAAATTCCCGTTGAGCCGCATCCATTCTTCAAAGTCATTCTTCAAAGCTTCAAAGCCTCGTAACAGTCATGCCAGCAAAACAAGTTTGATAATTGCAATCGGTTTACTTCTCAGCAGACTTCGACGATAATACCGATCAATACGCATCCCACTCTCGGTCAACCTTTGTAAGCGTACGTATTAAGGTCAGCCGTCTTTGTTATCATAACTAGGCGTAAAATAGATTATCCGAGTGAAATACGAAGCCTTGATGTTATGATAGAGGGACACATCCAAACATTAGGTCGATGTGGGTGAGACGTGCTACAAATCGCAAAATCGCAAAATAAGGTCATTTTGATCTTTCTGAATGAAAAACGATTGTACTGTTGTAGCACGCCATTCACCCTCGTTTTGAGTGCGTTCAAACAAAACGATTCAAAAATGTCATCACAGTTCTCCGAAGGCCACGGTTTCGAAGAATGCGACACACTGTAATATGATTACAATATTCGACAAACTGTATCTGAAAAACTGATTATTTTTATGAAACCACAGAAAAGTTCACAACAGCGAACGGATAGCGTCGTGAACTAACAAGGGAAGGACCCCAAGTCGAAGTGGTCATTTGAGATGCTACTGATACTGCCATAGGTATTTCCCGAACTTATTTCTAAACTGCTTTCCAAATTTGCCAAACGATTCTCCGAACGGATTTATTAAAGTGGTCGCAGGTGAATGCTTATCGC